CATAGGAACATTTTTAAGGAACCCGGAACTTCCGCTGTGTTCCACCGCCGGATCTCACCCCGACTGTAGTTCCTCAACCGTGTTTATCTCCTGCTCTGGGGTAGGTACTTCATTCAACTAGTATCTACTGCGGTGGAGTTTATACTGATGAGCTTCCCAGTTGGCTGACCGCAATCCCCCACTCTAACTTGTAAGTTACACAGAAGTATTGGGGAAAGAAATAGTAGCGGAGCGAAAATGGAGCAGATAGAACTAATTTTGTATTTCAATTACATTAAAAGCATTAATGAATAAGTTTTTTTAGATTAGTGGAATAATGTTACATCGTTATTCGTTGAAAATTGAAAGACCGATCTGCTGGTTAGATTTAAAAGCATACATTGAACGTGGAGCAGGCCGTATAAAACCGTATCATGGGCTGGTGCTTTAAGATCATATGTCTTCTAACTGGAGTTGCCACCCGTCCCATTTTGAAGCAGTACAGGACACAATTTTCCCCTGTATTTTTGGACCATGTGATCGATCCCCCACCCCTCAAGAACTAATAACTAAAACAACAACATCATCCTCCATTGTTTTGGGGTGGTGGTGCAGTTTTGTCATTTGTGAATTGACGTCTGAAGTTTAACCTATGAACCTTTTCAATCTCCCATTCTTACTTAGCATAACGGTCACGTGAAGCAACACATGAAAGTGGTCAGGATAGACAAGCCCAGGAACCTTGGAGGGAAAGTGCATTACAACAAGACAACCGAGAGAGAACACCACGTGGGTTTGCTATAATGTGGTATATCCTTCAGCCATAAACCACTCACAGAGGTAATCATCATCTCTGAGCTCCTCTCCCTCAGTGTAGAGTATCTTCGGTGTGCTGCGCAGATTACGACCATGTCTGTAGCCGGTCATGTTCACAGTCTGCTGCCCACGTTGCAGGCTCTCTGACATACCTGAAGTGCACAGAGTAACACGACACTGGAGGTTTAAAAAGGGAACCAGAAGAACAAACTTTATAACCACTAAATGTACCAAAGTAACTGCAGTTTTTTGTTGTATATGTCAGTAGTTGGAACCACCTGGGTTTGGAGGTTTCACACTCAGCTTGCATCTCCTACTATGACTCCCATCAGTGCTTCTCAACAGAAGAGAACCAGTCAGCTTCTCCTCAGTCACATCCTGCAACTCTGCACCCTTCGTCTTCCATCAGAAGGAAAATGACAAGGCTAAACGAGCCACTCACTTCATAGTATTAAAAAGCAAAAAGAACAGCCTGTATATTAGAAAAACAGGAGCAGAAAGCAAACAAAAATGATTCTTTTGGGAGATTTTACTACTTTCGTTTACATCCTTCACCGTTGATCCCTACAGTTGGTTGCTTTTGAGATTAACACTGAAAAAATAAACGACTTTAGAGTGGACAAATGACAATGGTGAAGAGACCTACTGGCACTCCATTTCACCTTGTGGGGGGTGTCGCTCGAAGATCCCCCACCCTCAGATATCAGGTATTCCTGCTCCTCTTTTTTGACCTCACTGACACCCTGCTGGAAAGGTTTCTGGTTCATGCTGCGAAAATGGTCTATTTCAGCTGTAACGAGATGTTGGTATAGCATTTACAGTTAATGGGAACTCCCGCACATCCCTTGTGTTTCCAGAATTTGGCATGTGCTCTTCATATTCACTTACAGCAAGGCACCCTGAGTGACCATGCATAGCACACAGGACGTAACTTCTAATAACTCCAAAACAACATGAGACAGAGACAAACAGTAAACTGTGCTTTGATCAGTTGCCTGTAGGGGACAATGCAGACCCCATGGATTTTCAATTTATGTATCTCCATATATAATTATGACCAATTACAATAAGTACATTCAGTGTGCACTGGAATAAATAAATAGGCTAATACCTCAAATTAAAAAAGACACTCACGTCATTCATTGTGGCATAGTGAACAACATGAAATGGTCACTTATCGTACAACGGAAATATTACAACTATATCTTCAGGACAGAGTTGGCGACCATTGCGTTAAAGCTTGGTTAATTTCTTGGGCGCACAAGATGTAAAAATATTTTTTTTCGGGACTTCGCGGGCTCCGCGACAGCATGGTAATGGGGGTAATAACGGAGAAAGAAAATCAGGTCAATTTGATAAAAGTTCTAATGTCTTTTACTTTGTTTCAGTGATATTCTAAGTAATTCTGACTCGTGAAGATGAAATAATAGGGGAAAGGGACGTTTTACAAACTCAGTGCGGTTTACAAACTCAATAATTAAAATGGGCAACTTCACAGATTTCGGATCGCTAGCGACACTTCTTGCAGATAAATGATCATACATCATTAATTTTAAATAAATTTCGTTGTACATTGCGATGACATACCGTGGGAAGAGCCTCCGCACTCAATTATGAACCCAGAAAAGCGACCCGATGTCTGTACTCAAGGGTTGTGTAAATGTAGACAAATACAAAACAGTTAATAAATTTACCTAGTGTTGGGTGATTTTGGGTGAAATACAGGCATATATTAGGCAGTTAAGATATAGGCATAACCGTGTTTAATTGAGGTAGCTACCAGCCAACGACAGGCGTCTGCTGACATCAGGGCGAGTGTGACGTTAACCAGCGATGGCACCTGAGGGGCGGTGATGCTTCTGCTGCCTGAGCACCAGAGGGCAAATATTTCAATCGACAGCTGAGATTTAAGTGGCACTGAAATCTGCGTTGCAGTGCGGTCCGGTACTCAGTCCAAACGGGGACAGCTGGGGACGGGGGACATGATGCTGCCTCATGCTTCACAGGGAAGGGACACGAAAACTGAAAAGCCACAGCACTTACTGGCCTTGCCAGTAATAATTTCTCTATCCTAGCTGCCTTGCCTCGTCTGAGCTCATGCCCAAAGCCCGTTACTTCCTGTGACCTCCATCAAGCCCACGTTCCTACGAGTAACATGTAATGAAATATGTAAAATACATTAGAAAGTTATCTATAACTGACGGACTTTCGGCAAAACGCAAACCTAACTACATTAGCACTCAGAACTACGAAACCACCAAAAACATCTTACCGTACCGTGTAAGTAACTGGAAAGTTATTTCTCCGATCAGTATGTTCTCGAGTAGCTTAGAGTCCTGATTAAACCCAAATGTAGCCTAAACCGCCTGTCACTACTGAAAACATCACACCTACCGAAAATGTAACCCCCGTTACTACGCATGCGCACATCCATCACACATGCGTCCACGAAACCACATTTTCCACCACTTCCGGCACTTATTTATTACGTATGGTTCATTCCGTTGTATTACGCATGCGTAATGTACTTCCACAGAATCCACAGGCTCGATAATGCCGTTACTGCGCATTTTTCGGTAGACCGTGATTGCGTGATGGGAAATCTTTCTACCAAAAAAAAGAGAAACAATGGATTTTTTACGACATTTAATATCCCATTCTCAAATATTAAGTATGCAGCA